CTACTCAGCCGTGGCACCCGGAACCTGAAAGACGGGGCAGGAAGAGGGAGAAGGGAGAGAGAGAGAGAAGAAGGAAAAAAAAAAACAACGTTCTCCATCAGGGAGAATCTCCTAGCAACCCACAACCGCAATAATCATGGATTAAGAACACTGTTTATCATTGTAGCTCAGGTTGTAGAGTCGGTCACCTACTAATTGGAGAGTTGGTGGTTCGATCCTTTTCTGTTTCAGTCTGCATGACAAATCCTTGGGCAAGATACTTCGTAGAGACTGTCACTGCTAACCCCAAGTTGCTCTCTGATGCACATGCGAATGTTGGGTAGAAGAAAGTACCTAGAAAAGCATATAAAAAGTGCGTGGGTGAATGAGGCAAGTTGTATAAAATGCTTTTAGTGCTCAGAGTAGAAATGCACTGTATAAAATCCAGTTCACGTACGTTTCAACACCATTATATCAGATCATTTTGGAAATGAATCTGGTTTGACTCAAGCCTTTCAGTTTTGAAGTTTGGATGTACTGTATTCCCCTTTCTTTTATGGCTTTCATTTATCCAAAACATACTAGTTTAGCTCACAGCATTACATGCATACATAAACATACTTCCTTTAAGTAGTATCATTAAAAGGCATAGAATACATTTTCACTGCTATGCAGATGACACACAGCTTTATCTATCCATGAAACCAGATAACACACACCAATTAGTTAAACTGCAGGAATGTCATAAAGAGATAAAGATCTGCCCCAAGAATCTGAGAAATGTGGTATCAAACCAGATGCTTATACTGGAAGGCATTACCTTGGCCTCTACTAACACAGTACATTATGTACATTGAAGGACCAGGATATGTCCTTCAATGTACATATTAAACAAATATGTAGGATTCATTTCTTATATTTGAGCAATATCCGGAAAATTTGAAAAATCCTGTCGCAGATCAGGCCCAAGCTTATCTTTATGACCTTATTGTCAGCTCTTCTGTCACGGCGAGTGAGATGAGCCGTGTGGAAAATAAAAATGGACAAAAGGCGAACCGAACAAAGACTAAACTATACTGGGAACAAACTGAATACAGAACACGAACCTGAACATGAACGAGAGCGAGCAGAAACGGATTGACAGCAGGGAAACACACAGATGAAGCATGGTGGGAACGCAGACGGACCAGCAACTACAATGACAGAGGACACGACTTAAATACACACAGAGAAACACGGGAATTACACACAGGTGGTGGACACAGCTGGGAATAATCAACAAGACGAGACAGAGGGAAAACTGAACACACTCACATGAGACTCAAACCTTCACAATAAAACAGGAAATGAGAACACTACAGGAAGACGCAGACCTGACACTGAGAGACAGACGGAGAATGACACATGGAACCTGAACTAAACTAAACGTGAGATACAACCGAGAACAAATCCTTAACATGAATAAACAGAAACAGAATTCTAATAATAATAATAAACCTCATAGTGCCCAAAACCATGACAATTATCCAAAAATAAACTAACAATCCAAAACTCAAAACACTGGGTCGAAACTGACCCAGAACCGTGACATCTTCTCTCTCACACTGCAGGCTTACTTGTTGTTCCAAGAGTATTTAAAAGGAGAATGGGACGCAGAGCCTTCTGATTCCCATGATGCAGAGAATGGTTCTTCTTCAGTCACCTTTCTCACTCACCATGTGTTAATAGACATCCCTGTTTTTCCTTCCCATTGCCACAAAAGGGCCACTGGGGGTCATATGACTGTTGGAGTCATATGACCCCCATTCAAATCAGTTTGAATCAGAATCATCATCATTCAGTGTTCCTGCTTGTCACAACTTTAAACAGTAAATGTAAATATTATTCTCACTTTACATACTGCCACACCTCAAGAAGTGAGAGTGATGCTGAAGTATGATGAGAACTCTAAAGTTTGTGTTCCTTCATATACTAAAAACATTTTTAATATGACAAAACCATCTAACTTCTATTTTACCACTCTAATTTTCTGCAGGAACCACATGAACATCAATTTAAAGTCAAGTTCAGTCAACATCATGCTGAAGAATACACCATTTACTGTGATCAACCTTGCAGAGTGCTGGAAGCAATAAAAACATTAGATATATATGAGGAAAAGATTAACTGTGCTGATGAGAAAATTATCATTCAGATGGGAAAGGGAGATAATGAATGTAGTATTGCAACACACTTTCCTTGTTCTTGTATTGAGGATAATGAGGTTCTGACAATATCATGTACATCAGAAATAGTTGAAGAAGTTCAACCTGATTTTAAAAGATCTGAAAATATCTGCACAAAGGATAGATATTCTATCTTCTACATTGATAAAGTTGGAGGAAAAGACACCAAAAGTAAGGATCTTTTTAGAAACAACGCTGTAAAACAGTTCAAGTATCTCTGTGTTTATGGAGAGAAGGGGATAACTGTGGAGGACGCTCTAAATAGAGACGGTCGCTTCATTGATGACCTTGGTTACTTTAAGCTGTCTGAGAATGAAAACACCATAACTGAGTGCACACAAAAGGTTAACAAAATGGATAATAAAAAATTCAAGATATGTCTTCAAAGGCAAAAAAACAAAAATGCATATTCATCAATCATAAAAGTAGCACAGCAGAAGGGAAAACATGTAAAGAAGAAAGAAACCAATGGTGATGCTGATACAAACGAGATTGATGAACTACTGCGTGAGCAATTTCCAGATCTGAAACGATGGATGGAGAGTGATGGTGATTTGTATAAGCAAGCACTGAATCTGAGGAAGGAAAACTTCCAGCAGTCCTTCAGTGAAGTTCACAGAGTCCACAAGCTGCTAGAACTGGGAAAGTCAGTTTGTAAAGTCGCTGTTAAGGATGTTTCTGTTGGAACAGGCTTTGTGCTGTTTGACACTTTCATCCTGACTAGCGCACATTACTTTAAAGGTTCTGTTCATGAAAACAAGCTGAAGGAGAATGTAGACGTATTTGCTATTTTTGACTATGAAGATCCTGAAACAGAAACAAATTTCTACTACTTTAGAGCAAAGGATACATTCATTGACTTTGATGCTGATCTAGATTATGCAGTTCTGGAGCTCAACCCTGAAGGCTCAAATCCAACCCTGCAAAAAAGAGCACAGAACATAAAGGTACCACCAGGGCTGATCAGCAAGTTCGGTTCACTGCCTGACAATGGTG